CGAGAACAATACGTAAATTTTCATAACAATATAAAGGCCGGAAATTTATCGTGCAAAACAAAATGATTCCCGAATCACGGTTAATTCAGCTTATAATTCGCGGGTGACGTTTAACTTAAAAAGTTTCGTTCAAGCAGACATGAAAAGATCTCATCATCTCTAATCACTATTCACAAATTAAAATAAAATTAAATCATGATTCACAAGGGAAAAACAATCGCCCAATCACGCCTCGTGTAAAAAGTATAGGGGACCCTCTTAATTAAGTGCTTACAAATCCGCAACTTATGCAAATTATGAAGTAATTGAAGATGGATCTTATCACAAAGTACATTGAAGAAAGTATACCCATCGCTTAAAGACATTAATTAATTGCTATATCAGCTTACGGCATTCTTGTTCGTTGCATGCAAGTGTCTTTTCAGCCGGTCCCAGTTCACTGCAGTCCTTTCCACCATTAGACGGCGGAGGATTGGTACAGGTTCTTGTAAGTGTCATTACTCCTCCTCCACACGTCACACTGCAGTCAGACTCCTTCCACTCGGTGTACTTGCCGTCAATTGCTAAACCACCAAAAAGAAAAAAATGTTCACTCATCTGCACACCTTGGCAGGGGATTGGTACAGGTTCTTATTATTATTGAAAGAAAATTTGATAGAACTGAAACTGTCTCTTGGATAAAAATCGTTTAGCCGTGAATATTAATGTGGTCGTGATATTGGAAAAAATAAACAAAACAAATGAAAGAAAAAGATCCTGCGCCAGAGATACAGCATAAAACTGTTGTTTTCAAAAAAATTTTAATTCAGTCTGACTTAGGTCTTCTTAAAGGAAAGAAGTCCTGAATTCGTTGTTTTGTTCTTCATTAGTGATGAATTCGTGGGTTGTATATCTACGTTCCTTTCATTAATAACTCTATTTTGAACAAAGTCAAGTCAATTGTTTATTGTTATTGGAGGGGGCTAAAATCTAACAGCTTTAAGCGGCCGTGAACACAATAATGTAGGGTTTAGCGCCTATGAGGTGAAGCCCCATAAGTATTCATTTACGCCAAATAGCTAGGAATTCTTGAAGACCAACACTTTGAAATTAGGACTTATTAGAATCCACTGATGTTTATAAAGCCATAAGTTCGGTTCTTACGATATGGTATCTACATATTATGCTCTCTTATCGTCAACATTGAAATTATCGGTTACTAGTGATGTAATGTGTTGCAACCTGAACTTACCACAATAAAGTTCTAAGACCTCGTCTAAATGATCACTTAGTATGTCAAAGCTCGGGACCAAAAGAGCAATGCCTTTTTCACCAGCAACCTCTTCCATTTTCTCCTTTTCATTTTCCACAGCTGGACCAACCCCAACAACGACGACGAGAACACCTTCAGCCTAATACAAAACAAACATGCAGTCTCACAGTTAAGTAGACAGTCAGTTAGTTTGATACATACTTTACGTGAGATCTCATTGTGGAAATAAAAACAAGATAATCTAAAAATATTCACATTTTTTCTTTTCTACACCAAACGTACCAGAACGGTAAAAAAACTTAAACACCTCGTTTGACCAAAAAAGACTTCTTATAAATTCACAGTATATGAAGTTACGAGACTATTATTTTTTTATTTGAGTGGAAAGGCCATATCATCGAAGAGAACTCTATAAAAGGAGTATTTTTTCCCGGTATAAATCCGTCTCTTTATTACCTCCAACGCTTTCGTTGACGTTTCAAAAGGAATAAATGGTTTCTTGTCTTTCTTTCTGATGTAAGGTTTTCCATCAGTTACGACAAGTAAGATGTTCTTGGCTTCGGGTCTGTCCCCTCCAGCTGCTGTAAACACTTCCTTGCTAGCCAGGTCCAAAGCAAGATCTGTACGAGTTCCAACTAACTTTGGCCTAACCATGAACATTGCTTTTGCAGCCTCCTTCATATTGCTTGTATCTTGGAATACCTCTTCGTTAAACATGATAGCAACATCAGCAGAATCTCCAAATGTGCCAAGAGCAACATGATTTCCGTCGGCGGAAACAAGAGTTTTGTCAAGTAACCCTTCAATAAAGCTGATCATCTGTTTGCGGTGTTGCTTCCTCATACTCCTTGATATGTCACCGAAAATCGCTACATCCATATTCTGTTTGCGGCACCTATTATCTTATTTTAGGAATAAAAATGAGTGTTTAAATTATTAGTGACTAAATATTGAGGCTTTTAAGGCTTAGGCTGTTTGACTTTAGGATGCCCATCCATGGATCTATGGTTGTACTTCTGGGATCTTAACTGGAAACAATGTTGAAGAAACACTTACTGTTACTTGTTACATTGTACCTTACGGGGAAAAATAAAGTTGGGCCAGAATCGAAAATCACAAATATTGGAGAAATTTTCAATTGAGTATCGAAACTACCTCGGTGTGCTTTGTTCAGTGCTTCACTTTGCTCTGTCGATTGGTATAAAAAAAAACTCGGGCCAATCTCAACCAATCAGATGCAAAACTAAAACGAATCACTACCTGGCCGTTGTGATTACTTTGATTTTTTTTTAACGAAAAT